CAGCCCCACACAGCCCCACACAGCCCCACACAGCCCCACCAGGCTCACAGGGGCACTGAGGGCAGTGTGGCTCCTCTGGAGCAGCCTTTGCTGAGGCTCAGGGATGCTTACATGAGTCAGTAAAGATGCTTTGGGGTGCTCTACAATGATTTTACTGTGSGGTTTCTTGAGATGCTGATGTGGGGGAATCTTTCTTTTTCCTCTTTAGATGCTTACAGCATTCTTATACCTCTTGGGCAGAACCCTTTGGTTTTGAACTGGTGTTACACAAAGGTGTAACATAAAGACTGCTGTTAAAATTTTTTTCTCTGGTTATGGTATGAAGAAAGTGGCCAGGTGCAAAAAGCTTTTGTGTCATACTAAAGTCTGTTTTGTCCACATACGTGAGCAGTCAAAGTATTTGGTGGCCAGACTATAGATTGTATTAAACTTTTAGTGTTAAAGCTGGTTAAGTGAGGTATGCTATCTAAATAGCCTTTTTTATGCTGTGCTAAACTGTGTTTTTTCTTACCAGTATATGGTCATCAAAGCTGTGTTCTTTCTATCCAGAAACTCATTGCATATGGGCATATCACTGGCAATGCCCCGGACAGCGGAGCTCCTGGAAAACGACTGATTGACCGAATTGTTGAAACCATTTGCAATTGCTTTCARGGTCCTCAAACAGATGAAGGAGTACAACTGCAGATAATTAAGGTATTCTATTTGATTTATTTTGGTGCAATATTGATTTGCTTTCTTTGTCCTTCATTTTGTAACTGGAAAAAAAGAGTGAGATATATTACTGAGGGCCCAGCTGCGTCATTACTTACACTGTCCTGTGTGTCACTGCGTTCAGGGAGGCTGTAACCAGGACAGAGGTGCTGTGGAAAATGTATTTTCTGTTGGGGAAGCAGAATGGAAGGGAATATTTGATAAATGTTTGCCCTTCTTTCTGAGATGAGCCATCTTTCAGACAGCTTGGTCTCAGTGACTGGCAGTGCCCACCTCCATCAGGCCAGGGAATTGCTGCCAGCCCTGGCACCCACCCTGGAACGGGGATGCAATGCTGTTCAAGCCTGGCTGCTGCCATGGCCGTTTTTCCAGACAGCTGCCAGTATATGCTCTCAACAAGGCATGGGAGTCTCTGGACTGTGTGTTCTGGCTCTGAAATCTGGGGCTAGTTAGCTGAGCGTGGAAGTTGGTGAACCTTCTAGTAATCCAGCTTGATGTTAGTGGAGGCCTATTGGCTCTTGTGTGGAAATGAAGGTATGGAATATAACAACTTTCATCTGAGGGTGGAAAATCTCCCTTAGTGGAAAATCAGTTTTGATAAAATCCTCTAAGAACAGCTCTGGAGGGAAGAGAGATATGGAAGTCCTTCTAAACCTTCTTTGATTTGAAATGTCATTGCTTGTAAAGTCTTAAGAAGAGGTRCCGGTGTGTTTTGTAGCAAACATACTGATTGTTCTGCAAGACTTTGTGATTATGCATGAGACGAGCATGCAGAGCATTGCTGCCTAATTGCTTAGAGTCCGTTTTTGCTGTGTTATGGACTTTTCCAGGCTCTCCTCACTGCAGTAACATCTCCATATATAGAAATCCATGAAGGAACAATTCTTCAAACTGTTAGAACCTGCTACAACATCTATCTGGCCAGTAAGAATCTCATTAACCAAACAACTGCCAAAGCTACCCTGACCCAGATGTTAAATGTCATTTTTACACGGATGGAAAATCAAGCTGTAAGTAACTATTACTTTTTCAGATCTCAAATGTTCAGGCTTGCAAATGACTGAAAATTTTTTGCTGGTTTTTTTTTTAATGAGTCTGCCATCGTAGTTGCATATCTGTTGATTCGCCACAGAAAACCTGTCAAATGCTGCTGTGAGGCATCCTGACTGATTTGAAGATAAAAGGTGCTTGTTATCACTGCTGATAACAAGATTTCCCACTGTAGCTTCTGTCAAATGGCATTGGAGAAACAAATGGTGCTTTTAGAATAAACTTGATGTCATTGGCCAGGTGATTATGGTTTCACTGTTTGTTGCTAACATGTGAATTCACAAAGGACCATCAGTCATGACAGACAGCATTTCCCTTTGTTGTGTGTACTTAGCTGACGCTTTTGCCTGCATTTTCAAGGTGCAGGAGTCCCGAGAGGCAGAGCGAGTGTCGGTGTCSCAGCAGAAGCCGCAGTCCCCTGCAGCGGCCGTGCCCCGTTCCCCACGGCCAGGCCAGCGGCAGCCCGGCTCCTGGGGAGGCAAAGGCAGCGCTGCCAGCGCCCTGCTGCCCAACGGGGAGCCCGCTGCGACAGGCGGCAGCCACGGGGAGCCCGCTGCGCCAGGCTGCAGCCACGGGGAGCCCGCTGCGACAGGCGGCAGCCACGGGGAGCCCGCTGCGACAGGCGGCAGCCACGGGGAGCCCGCTGCGACAGGCGGCAGCCACGGGGAGCCCGCTGCGACAGGCTGCAGCCACGGGGAGCCCGCTGCGACAGGCGGCAGCGATGGGGAGCCCGCTGCGACAGGCGGCAGCGATGGG